ATACGCATGTATGACGTCAAAAATATACGAAATATAAGGCTAAATTGATATCAATTGCATCAGAAAAAAAAATGGTACCGTTTTTTATTATAATATTAACTAATGTCCATGTATAACACTTTTGTACTATTTTTTATTTTTAAATACAATATTTAAAATTCGCGTTTGCTTGGTTGTTATATATGGATTTAGATAATCAAAAATCGTTACTCTTCATTTGGTTAACTCTTATTATAGAAAACACTAATTCGAATTGGCGTGCAATCGTGGCACCGTTTCATTCACAAGAGTCGATCAATGGTCGCGCCGGATGTGCAGCGCGAGCGCATCGCGAGCGAAAACACGATACGACGCGATTTACGACTTCGTGCAAATTGCGAATCCCAGACTGACGATCAGGAGCCGTATTCTTCAAAGATATACGCATACGAAAATATACAAAAATACTATACAGTATCATTGAATAAAGAGACCAGTAATAGTTACCAAATGTTGAAAGTTTGATTAATACAAACAAAATACTTTTACTTTTCTAAATATTTAGTACTACCAAACGGTTGGTTGTATTATTATGTTTGATAATACTTGCTAAATATTTAGAAAAGTCATTTTTGTTTATATTAGCCAAACGTTAGATTAGAATTATTTCACTCAACATTTGATACTCTTTGAAATTTTTAGAATATTTCTCACACTTAAAGATTGAAAATTCAAGACTGACTCAATTTTCATTCTTTGGAGTGAGATTCCACTCCAAAAAATTCAGAGTGGCGAATACTAGACTCTATTGTTCAGTGCATGTTACGTGTACTATAGATTTCCTTGATATTTTTATGTATACGATGTTTTTCAAAAGTACGATTCCAGATTCCGATTCACGCTCACAACGCTTGTGATTATTTATCCTTGTTTGTCATTTGATAAACAAGGATGAAATGATTCCGTAACTCGTTACAGTAACGACGACTATTATATATCGTCGTTGCACGGATATTCTGTATAATAAAAAAACTGCGCATGTAACGATGTCGTTACTGTCATAACGAGTTACAAAATAGTGGCCCCAAGCTGAGTCGAATCAATACCTTGAAAAATCTGGACCGCGTTTTTCCAAACGAAAGACTGTAACGTTCATCTCGAGTGGCGGGGCGGTTCTCACGCGATAAAACGGTCGATTAAAAAGCACGCGCACCGGGACCCGGAAGGGCAGCGGAAGGGAGAATCGAGCACGTACGGCGGCTCTCTCGAGGCGAGGCGCGGAATTTCAAGCGCGGGACGACGTCGTTTCAAGTCCGACAAGTTACGTCGCACGGTCAGTATTATATCAACTGCGGTCGCGACGATGACCGCGAAGCTATACGGCTTCCTTCCTGGCACTCCTCTCCAACGGGAAGTGGCGTCCCTGACTATTGGCGCGGTTTCATTCGGTTTATTCTTCGAATACCACGATCGATCGATTCATACACACACATATATATATATATATATATGCATTATATATCTCGCGCTTGCCAAGTTTCGCGAAACGAGCATCGCGGATCCACCCGCCCATTGACGAAACAACTTAGCGAGATATGTATATGCATATTGCATACATATATATACACGGCGTGCACGAATGCACGGGAACGTGATGTATGTCGGTTCTCCGAACGGTATTGATCGTCGCCGATTATTCAGCGGTATACAATCGCCACTGACAGACGTTAAGATTTAAATGGCAAGGCCACGTGCCGCGCCGTTGTTTGAATTTCTAAACATTCCGCGAGACGCGCACGAACTTGGACGCATAACATTGTTCGACAATAGGAGCGCTTCCTTGTCCCCCTCCCCCCTCCTTCTCCACCTATTGACTGAATTAATCGCTCAATAACGAGAAAGATTTCTTATCATTTGCGCAACAACTTGATAAAAGATAAAACAAATGTACGCTTTTACGAAAAGTATCTTTTCCATAGTAAATGATCTGTGTGATACTTTCTTACTTCGATCACATTGTGTAAACACGTGCTATGTATCGTAAATATTACGAAGGTTAATGAGGCTTCGAAATAAATAGCTTCGACCGATAAGCTTATCTATGTTCTGAAATACTTGGTATTTCGGAGATTTGGATAAACTGCAACAAGCTATGACATCAACACTTCGTTCCGAATCGTTATATATATTATTTTCTTTATCCAATTAAGAATTAATGACTTAGATACAATGAAAGGAGAATAAGGAAGATTTCAATCTACTGGAAATCAAATACACCAGAATACACGGTTCCTGGTAGATTGAAATCTGTTATTTCTTGTTCCTTACTCCTTATTCCCATCATTGTGTTTGAAGCCTACACACAGAAAAATAACCTTCTATTGCTAAGAAAAGTGACTACTTAATTTACTTTCTTCCTTTTAAGTAATTGTTATTTTCAACAAAGAATATCTTCTTGATAATGGTCTTAAAATTATAAAAAATATTTATTATAAAAACTTTAGGAAAAAATTAAAAAAACTAAAAACTTGAAAAAATTTTAGAAAACTTATTCAAAACACAAATTTATTTTCTTTTGAAGAATATTATCAAATTGATCGAAGAAGCGATTTTATATAATACACAAAATTTCGAATTTGTTTTAATTTAATAATCTTGAACAAGGCAATAAACTGACTAAAATTCAACATATTTTAATTGAATAAATTAGATGCTTGTGATGTTACGATAGATTTGCAGATATATGAAATTTTGAAATATTTGAAATAATTATTACTTGAAATAATTTTTACAGAATGTATTTTTCTGTATGTAATCCTTCTATCAATGCATGGATAATGCATATCAAATTTTAAATGGTAAAAATTTTATATTTTTGTGTAAATTTTTTCATCCGTGAAAAAATTCATACAAAAATTCTATTCTCCGACAATAAAGAACAGTTTTCCATAGACTGTATGACTTCATTTTTTGCGGGAACCTTGTTAAACACAATAGCGTAAAGGTCAAAAGTAGACATTGACATAAGTTAACATCGACCATCCGGTGCATTTCCGGTGGTGCGAAATACAACCATTTTGGCATTCTGTTCGGAAAGTGACGTGGCGGAATAAAAAAAAAGGCGGGAAGGGACTATAGTCGGCATGGACAAAAGAAGAGCGGGCGAGACGAATTAGCAGTTTCGCAGAACGGTGACCGGTCTCTTCAAGGTTGGGACCGAGAGAGTCATCGGTCTCGGCCGTGCAATGCAGAATATAACGCGTCTTTATTTATGAGTCGCGCGCGCGAGCAAGCGCGACGTATCGTGTCGCATCGTATCGTGTGATAGAAATCGTAAACACTATTTCGCCGCGGTAGTTGAGAACGGCGACGAATAGTAGAGGAAACGGGGAGGGAAAAAGAAAAAAAGTACGGAGCCATAACGACCGCGACCTACGACAGGTTCGAGGGAAAAGGAAGGGGGAACCCCGGATCTCCCGCCCGGTCCACGTCGCGCGCCCGCGCGCGCCCGCGCGAAATGAAATTCGTACGTAAATTGGTTTAATTACTCTATCGTAGCCGGTATCAAGTTTCTCGCAGCGTGCGTCGCGTTTACAGTCGTGCCAATGAACTGTCAGTGGCGCTATAATCGCCCGCGACTCCACCAACCGGAATATACGAAAGAGGTTTAAAGGAAAAGAAAGAAAAAGAAAAATGACGCCAAGTATTGGCGTTGCAACGAGATTTTGAAAAAAGTACCGAAGAGACCCGAGTCATCCCTCGTTGCCTTTCGCCCAGTTACCCGTTTCTACCAACGCAATTTAATTTTAATCTCGTTCAAGTAACTCTTCATCTTTTTCTAGGTTTAAGAATCAGAAGAAAATGAAGAGAGTAAATTGAACCAAGATTAAAGTTAATCTACATTGGTAGAAATGAGAACGTATTGTTTAACCGCCGAGAAATATCGATCGTGGCTTATTTTTACCAATGTGGATTATCTCAATATAATTTACTCTTTTATCTTTTTCTAATTCTGGGAAGTAGGAAGAAGATAAAATAAAAGTAAGTTAAACAGAGATTAAAGTTAATCTACATTGGTATAGAAAAATAGACGTACGGGACAAATGAAATTAATGCCTACACTCTAAAAAATATTAGTGTGGATTTGATATGTGATGTCTAATCTAAATCTCACTGTGTTAATATTAATACTGAAAAGATGCAATTTAACTTCATGGGTTTTAAATGCATATTACGATGGTGCCGATACAAACACTAGGGGTTATAAATCTATCATGTGTTGATGTTAGTATTGACACCAATATGATGAGAATTGTAAGCCCCACATGGTGTTAAATCCACACCGATATTTTTTAGAGTGTAGATACTCAAACGATCCTTTTTTTCAAGGATCCCAATTTTATCTGTTTTATCCCGTAAATCTCAGACCAGTATTCACAGTTCTTGTTTTAAGACCATCTTAAGTAATGTGTCTTAAGATATTTTTTATGTAGTAATTTAAACATTATGAAAGAAATTTATAAATAATTTTGAAATAAAATGGAAGGGTAAAGATGAATTAATTATTAATTAAATAATTTTGTGTAGAAATATAGATGAATAGAATGTAGAATTAGAAGGAAAAAATGATATTAATTAAATAAAAAAGCAGAAAATAGTAAGATTTTTTTTAGAATTTTCAGTCGATAAAATATTTACCGATACTAATACATCTGAATGATCGATATTGATATAGTCGCGATTCTTATATTAGATGCTGTCTTAAGTACAGTTTAAAGATGTTATAAGCCAATCAGAGCCAGGCTGTGTATCGGCATCTCAAGACATTACTTAAGACAATCTTAAAGATAAGAACCAATTATGAATACCGGCCTCAATTCTTGAATACAACACCCGTGCGTCTCGCTGTTAAAATTAATAACAAGGACAATCCTTAGTCGACAAACGTACAGAGAGACCCATGAATAAAAAAGGCGCGAAGGGAGACATAAAATTTCGCAGAGTACTAAACATACACTTACCCTGTCGACCGACGATCTCCGCCACGTGTTCGCTGCTGGGCACCGGCACGCACTCAGTCATGTTCTGGCTCTTCTTAGAACGCGCTTCCTCGAAGACGGCTGGCGCGGTCTGTAGCGGATCCGGATCGTTGGTGGTGCCATTGCCGGTACCGGTGCCGGGGCATCCGGACGAGCCCTCCGGGATGCCGAGCATCGACAGCTCGAAGGCGAGCTGAAGAGCGCGCTGATCTTCGAAGGAGACGCCCGCACCGCCGCCGTTCGTGCCGCGGTCCATCTCGCTGAACAAACTCGTCGGCATTTCGATCGATTACAAATTCCCGTATATCGTGCGACACCGGACGAAACGTAGAACGACGACAATGTCGATGATGGTTGAAAACGTTGCACTAGGGTCCGCGCTGTCGAGTGTTCACCGTATATTCACGTCGGTCTTTCCTCTCTTCCGTCGTCTCCTCTCTATCGAATAAACGAACGGAATGATTCGCGCTGCCTCGAAGACGACAACGATGATGATAATGCGACGAGGATCAACTTCCACCGGTTAGGGTCGAGCGTGATGATCTTTGGCGTCGCGACGCTACGCTGCGACTATTTACGTACGCGTAAAAAAACTCAAAGAGGATTCGACGCACCGCGTGAAAGATAACGAACGTTGTCGGCTCGGTTTCGAATGATCGTTATCTCTTCCGCTCTGAAACGTAATCAGTTCCGGTCCCCTCTCGTGAACGTGAACGGTGTAACGTGGGCCGCGACGACGGCGCGGTGTGTGATAGTAGTCAGTCGCACGTTCCTCTTCGCGCCGGGAGGCACACGCCGGTCGTGTCTACGTCGTACGTACCGCGCACCGGCAACGAAAATGGCTATCTCCCACTGTACCTTCCCGCCGCCGAACGCGTGTAGTTTATGCGGTTGTTCGTGTCGAAGAGCGAGGTTTCCGTAGTCACTCCACTCTTTTACGCTCGTTACTCGTACAGTCGCTTGGTCTTCGACCGATGCTTTCGTTCGTTCGTTTCTCCACCTCCACTTCCTTCTCTCCGTCGCGATCCTCTTCTTTTTCCTTTTCTCTCTCTCTCTCTCTCTCTCTCTCTTTCCTCGACTACCGACGACCAGGACGACGTGACGATTCGTGTCGCGCGTTTGTTCGGCTGCCTTGTCACCGGCCGACTGGAACTGACTCAGCCGTCCAAGAAGTCGATCCGTCGCGCGAGACCGAAACACTGAAAACGAAGGCAAGGGCCGCGCGCGCTTCTCTCTCTCTCTCTCTCTCGTCCGCTCCGTTTCCGCTCCCGTCTTTCTCTTTCCCGCTCGTGATCCTCACCGCCTCGCTCCCTCGCTCGCTCTCGCTCTCTCGTTCTCGCCTCTCTTCTCTCACCGCGATCTTTCCTTTCGAAGGCAGGCGCGTGCAACTACCCTCTCGTTCGTGTTACCACTGCGACTGACTGCGACGAACTGCGACTGCGACTGTCGAAGCCGGCGCGCCGCCATGTGCCGGACGCCGGCTATGCGCGCGTCCGATTGGCTGGCCGCGTCACGTGGTACGCGCCACCCCTCCCCACCATCGAACCCGGCGCATAGGCGCTAGCGCACCTACCAGCGCGGCGTAGCGGCACTGCGCCGCAATGTAATGTAACGCAACACGAGGGAGCGAGCCAACTACCGAATGAACCAGCGAGCGAGCGAGCGAACGAACGACCGACGTCGCCGCGTTCGTTCCTCGGCTCCTTCAACGCTACGGATGCGTGCACTCCGTCCTCGATTGTGTACGCCACGCAACCCCCTCCGTTCGTTCGTTCGTGTATCCGCTCGAGCCTCGGCGAAGTTTCCCCGTGGAAACGCCACTGTTCGTCCCTCCACGCCGGACGGACGCCCGCGCGTTTTACCAGCTCCGATTTCCCGGAGCGGCGAATCCCGGACCCGTAGGATTGACTGGAAAAACGCAGCCGTGTCTTTGGCTTGTCGTGCTGTCGACACCGGGGATGCGAATCCCCTAGAGCCAGGGATATCTCCGATTCGAGGGTGTTACTCGACGCTGAGCCGCGCCTTCGAACGATTTGTAGATGTACACAGCGATCGCGAATCGATTCTCTCTCTTTCTCTCTCTCTCTCTCTCTCTCTCGATTTTCTTATTTTGTCGCAATACGTCATACGGAATTTATGTTAGAACGTTAAGGCCGAAGCACAGATCTTTGCATAACGCGTAATGCATAAAGCATAGAAAATTAACCAATCAATCTTTTATTTCATGAAAAGGGAGGAAATAAAAGACTCTGATTGGTTCATTTTCTTGCGCATTATGAGTTATGCATTATGCATAAACAAATTAAGGACCGGTTCCATAAATGTAAGATTAATCTCGTTTAATTTACTATCTTTTTTCTGATTCTTGGAAATAGAAAAATCTTACATCTGTGGAACCAATTAAAGTCCTCCATTTCCTGCCTTTCCATGAAATAAAAGACTTTAATTGGTCGATTTTTTTTATGCTTTGTGCGTTATGCGTTATGCAAAAATCCGTTCTCGTTACTCTTTATAAAGTCCATTTTACAAAATAATTGAAGTTGTAAGAATTGACCAATCATAAACAGAAACTTCCTTGTGGAGGATATGGAACTTTCCAGAGCTCCTGTGAGTGTTGACTTCCCTGAATTCGGAGTATTTAAAAAAATATGTTAATTTTTGACAAATTTAAAAAAAAAATTTTGATTTGACGAAAAACTACTTGACTAAGGTGTATATATAAAGAAATATATGTCGCATATGCAGAAAAAGAGATAAAATATTCGTGTTATTTTGAAATCCCTCTCCCCCCTCCTCATTCGAATGAGATACTCCACATCTAGAAAAGTCAAAAGTCTCCGTCCCTGCATGTAATTGTAGAATAGGTATTACGTACGAAGAGCTAATTGTAAAATCTGAAGTAAATGTAGCCCGTGACGATATATGATTTTCCTCGCGAATGTCGAACGGGTCAAAGTGCACCGACCTAGGTGGATCGTATAACGCTCTTTCTTCTCTTCTCTCCTCCCTGGCCGTCAACGAGCTTCGCGCGCACGATCCGTGCACACGAGGTGCACCGATATTTTTCTGCGCAGTTATTTCTCTATTTTAACAGGGGGAGAGAGGACGTATATAAGTCTGGTGAAACAACAGCGACTTGCGTCATGTTTAGATCGTAAATAAAAAATCTCGTATTACCGGTGGATCGTCACCCTGCGAACTGAATATCGCGTCAAATGTATCCCTGGGGAAGAGCCTAATGGAAAGAATCCGCACGCTTGTCGCTACCCGCGATTTACTTAATTGAGTTTTTTTCCAAATAACCGAGGGACGAAAATCTTACGACTTGTGCTGAGTTCTCCCGATTATTGTCCTTGACCCTTAGCCGACGACATCGACGTTAACACCGACTGTACGAAAGTCACTGTTAGCTGTAAATGCGTCGCACAATTTCGTCGTTGCATTTAACAAATTTTGAATTTTATCCGTTTCACAAGCATTTCGTTGATTTCGTCGATCCTAAATTTGGCAACGTCTCGTATACGATATATAGCCGAAGCGGAACATAAATCATCATGACGTGTGAATGATGTTAAAATAGCTCCAAAGTGACTATTAAAGCCCAGTTTTTTATGTACTCGTTAACTTGTTTAGAGCTTAGCTTCACTTAACTTGATGATGATGTAAAAATTGTTTTTCTAGCTATGATTAATCACTAAACTGATGGTCTTGTAGTGGTAACTTTGAAAGTTACTCTCCACAAAACCATCAGTTTCATGATGAAGCGTAACTATAAAAATGCAATTTTTGAATTTTTACATTATTATCAAATTAAACTTAATTACAAGTTAATGAGAAAATAAAAAACCGGGCCTTAAAGTCACTTTTTAATTAGCTCATTTTAACGTTATCTTGACGTTATGCCTTGAAAATTATGCCTAGAAAATTAATACTGGCCAATACTGGAAGACAAATAATTAATTATTTAATTACTTATTTTAAGTATTAAAAGCTATATTGTTCAGTGCTTTTAGTATTTCAAATAAGTAATTAATTACTATCTTTCAGTAATAAGTTGGCCGGCATTAGATTTCTACAAAGAATCGTGACTTATTGTTCTGCTTGGGAGGTCTCTCTAAAAGGAATTTTCGTTCTCTACCTAAATTTTCATTCACTTTGTGTGCACGTGTTCGTGCTGTTCCGTATTTCTGTAAAATATCCGTGACAGATATTATTAATGTGTCTGTGTTACGTTGCGCATCTCTTCCAAAGATGGACGATAATCGATACGCGGGATGTGTAACTATGAGTAATCGGAATTTATCGGGTGATGAGCCAGCGGCACTACGCCGCACGACATGTCCGATTCGCGCCGACGTGAACAAGGCCGAGCGAATGCTCGTCGGTCCAATATAATCGGCGCTTCCCCCCTCCTTCCCCCTAATTCACGAATCACGTACCGGGCCCGACCACCTGCCCGACTAGCGGTTTCGTTAAGTAAGAGTGAAAAGAGGATTCCGTCTCTCTAAACCGATCTAGACGCGGCCACGAGCTCGCTCGTTCGCTCGTTCGCGCGGACCTTGAACCGAAGCGCAAACGTGATCCATTGTTCTCTGCCGACGACCCTTCGTCCTCTCTCCGACCGAGCACTCTCGGCTCGAGATTGCTCGATTTTTAGTCCGGAGGCCCCATACCAGATCGGTCCCCGTGTCCTCCATTCTCGAGGACAGACGGGACGACGGGCGCCCGCCAACGATTCACGAATATACCCGCGACTCATTGTTTTCTACGTATCGGGATAGCGTGCTCGTTAAAGAGCACGGTGAACGCTTTGTCGTTTGACGTAATCGCGTAATTCGGACAAGAAGGGAGACGGTTTTTCCCATTTCGCGCGAGAGAGCGAGACGAGATTCGGGCGATTCGGCGACCAGCGAGATCTACCTGACGATGAATTCGCTCGAAGGTGCGAGCGACTAATTTTGTTTCTCATCGCATGCCGAAAGCAACGACCCGTGCACATCGCCGCCGATCTCTCTTTCTCTCCCTTCAAGGCTGTCTCGAGACAACCAACCACCTTTTGCTACAAGCACCTGCCGACTGCTCGTGCTCTCGACTCGCTCGTAAATACCTCGGTGTTATCGTACGTATGATTTTACAAACTGCCGCCTCTATACAGTCGCTTCTTTCCTCGCCGCGGAGCGATGAGACGCGATCGTACGTGGCAGGATGGATTATTCGCGCAAACACGTTATGCTCGGTCACTAATCATCACGCCAATTAATTCAGGATAACGAATGTGATCGCTAATCTTCGCCGACCGAGAGATCTGAGGATTAATTTTATTTAAAAAAAAAAAAAAAAGCTTCCGCGCGTCTTGTCGCGCTTGTAGCACCGAAAAATTTAATCCATAAACTCAATTCAATCTTCGATTGAATTTATGAAAAAGCAATTTATGAAAATCACCA